GAACTCCGAAGCGTTGTCGAGCAGCGAAGCGTTGTCGAGCAGCGAAGCTCTGTCGAGCAGTGAAGCGTTGTCGAACTGCGAAGCGCTGTCGAGCAGCGAAGCGCTGTCAAACTCGAAGCGTTGTCGTGCAGTGAAGCGTTGTCGAACTGCGAAGCGCTGTCAAGCATCGAAGCACTGTCGAGCAGCGAAGCGCTATCGAACTCGAAGCGTTGTCGAGCAGCGAAGCGTTGTCGAGCAGCGAAGCGCTGTCGAGCAACGAAGCGTTTTCGAGCAGTGAAGCGCTGTCGAGCAGCGAAGCACTGTTGAACTGCGAAGCGTTGTCGAGCAGCGAAGCGTTGTCGAACTGCGAAGTGTTATCGAGCAGCAAAGCGCTGTCGAACTCCGAAGCGTTGTCGAGCAGCGAAGCGTTGTCGAGCAGCGAAGCGTTGTTGAGCAGCGAAGCGTTGTCGAGCAGCGAAGCGTTGTCGAACTGCGAAGCGTTGTCAAGCAGCGAAGTGCTGTCGAACTCCGAAGCGTTGTCGAGCAGCGAAGCGCTGTCGAACTCCGAAGCGTTGTTGAGCAGCGGAGCGTTGTATAGCAGCGATGCGCTGTCGAACTCCGAAGCGTTGTCGAGCAGCAAAGCGTTGTCAAATTTCAAAATAACCTCTGCATTAACCTTAACTCAACAGGAAGTCGGCCATTTTGGGTCAATGGGTCATTTTTGGGCGTTTCTAATGACGAATTTTAACGAACTCCTAGGTATTTTGATAGATTGCCTTCAGACTTGGTTAATATGCCCTTAACACATTGAGGAGTAAAACTTATCAAAAGCTTATGTTTTTGTATATGTTAAAGGGGCGTGGCCAGGCCTCAAAGTTGTGTTTCACTCCATAAATTTCCAAACGCTATAACTTTCACATTGAAAGACCGAATTGCACCAAACTTGGCATGACTCATCCCTGTTAGATGCCTGACGATCCACTGTTGTCATATTCTGTGGTCATCAAAGCCCTGCCTCCTCAGAACAGGAAGTCACTTGTTTTTACTTGGAAAGCTCTCTCTCTGACACTCTTGACCTAATCAGGATGATCCTGTGTTAGAAGACATTTAACAAGTTGGTCTGAGTTGCTTTAAAGCGCAAACTGTTTTTGCTGGAGAATGTGGGCGTAGCGGTGTGCTGAATAAAGAAGTGACGCCGCTACAATATGTTTGGCTCTAAATTGCACACATTTGAGCCAAGGTGCACCAAAATCAGTATGATCAATCATTATCCACCAAGCTCACAGCACCCCCTACAATATTCTTACAGTTATAGGATCTGCACCAGATTTACTGTTAGGGCTGGGTACCTTTCTAAAAAAAATCGGTATCGGTACCAGTGTCGGTACCTTCACTTCGGTGTCGGTTCCTGGACGGTTCTTTTTTCGGTACCAATTACGTTACACATTACAGTACAAATTGAGAGTTTTATTTTATAACTTTGGTATTTTTTTATTCCAAGCAGTTTTCTTGCATAAAAACAAACAAATAATTTCCAGGTCAAAAGACCAGTTACAAACCAGTGACATGTCAGTGTCTAATGTTCACTGCTACACACTGAGGACCTTTTCACTGAACAGTTTTTCTTCAGAAAAATCAACATGTCTGCTTTCTCTGGACACAAACAAGCTGCTCCTGGCTGATGGTGTCTCCAGCAGTAGAACATGTTCACTCTGAGGGTGTAGATGATGATTACAATGATACGTTTGGCTCTAAATTGCACACATTTGAGCCAAAGTGCACCAAAATCAGTATGATCGATCATTATCGATATTGAGGAGATAAAAAAATCCTTGAGCTTCATGAGTGCTGAACTCGCAAATTTAACATCCCAGCAGAAACTTCTGATTGGGTTGTTTGAGGAAGTGAAACAATTAAAACTACAAATAAATCTCAAGGATAAAAAAATAATGGAACTTGAAGAAAAATTAGATGACTTGGAACAGAT